TACAAGTAGGTTCGTGTGTCTGCGAAGCACACGGCGGTTCCACAGCCCTCACTGTGTGGCCCAGTGATCAAAAATCCGAAAATCCTACCTCCTCGATGCTGCTTGGCACGATGTCGAAATCGCTCCGTTCGACTATTTTAGCAATTTTGCCAAATTCGACATGGTCCCTCCCGCCACGGTGATATTTCGGATTATACAACGAAATCATGTTGCTGCCACAGCGCAACGGACCTAATTTTGGATACCAGTTTCCCCTTCCACTGCAGGGCATGACTCGATTTCTTATCAGAGCGGTGCGACTCTCGGGCTGGGGTGTTTTTGGATAGGTCCGACTTGGACAGCCGAACGGGTTCTTTCACTCTACGCCGGCACAACAGATCGAAACTCAGGTTTCAGGCTGCAGCATGCTGCAGTCGCACCAGGACGGCTATGTTGCCTCCGCTGCATTTCGAAGCTCCTGCAGAGTGCAACTGCTTGGAGCGATTTGACATGTTCCTGCTTAAATGTATGGCACCTTGCGGTAGCCACGGCTGCTCTGCAGCTCATCCGGGGTGGCATCTGTGAGGTGATTGAAACCTCGGCATCCAGCCGTCCCCTCGCCAACACTAGCAGACCCTGAGCCGACGTGCCTGCGGTCCAGGTTCTCGGCGAACCTACCGCCAGCAGCTGTGCCTTGCGCTGCTCGAAGAGAATCCTTCGCATATTCAACCTGATGGAAGGTGTTGATGCACTCAGCCGGAAGGTGCTATTTCACCAAGGCGCTCTGCGCCGTGATACACCTCAGCTCCCGTTGCCCATTGTCCAAGATTTGCGAGCCGTTTGCGACATGAACGCGCCGAGCTACCGCCACGAGTAGCAAGGATAGGCGGTTTTAAGAAAGGCACTTTGTCAAACTGCCTCAGGTAATCTTCGAAGCTGACGTCCTGATTTCTTCGCATCAGGGAGGACCCCTGTTCATTCCCATGCCCCGCTTATTGCAAGGCCTGCACAGCGGCAACAGCATGTTGCAGTGCAACAAGCAAAAAGTGAAGACGCAACATGGCAACCTAAGCTGTGATGAAATACAACGTACCTAGACAGAGCCGCTCTCACATCAGTCTCTGTTGTCACAACCCTGTCGTGCGAATGAAGAAGTGCGGTCAAGGCTGTTTATCCATGAACTTTCCTGTATCTCCATTTTTCTGCTTCTGCCACTTCTTGTTGCTACAGATGACCTTAAAGCAAGCTGCAAGCCCAAAATCCCAACATGCAAGAATCAAGGCACAACGCCTCATGCACAAACGGCAAATGTGATATTGATTTGTGAAACAAGCACTGTTGCCCCGGACATGTGTACCAAGCAACAAATGCACAGGGTACTCCCCGCTTCCATTCCAAACCGATCTGGCATGATCACTGACATCTACTTGAATCGCCTGTCTAAATTGGCTCTCTGTCCGCCAGCACAGTAATGCAACGTTTGCAGCCGCCTTCTGGACTTGTTGGGGAAGCTTCAGCTTCCTTGGGCCTCCGCAACCCCAGTCTGCGCAAGCCCAGGAAAGTCTTTCGGTGCTTTTCACGATGAGAAGTTCACCTAGAGAACCAAACAAGTCTGGAGTTACAGGGCACTCGTCGGAGCATCAAAAACAGCAGCAGCAGAAGCAGCAGCACGCCGAGAGTTGTGTCGGGTTGGGAGATCTGCAGTCAGCCCTTGGATCAACTGGGCAACTCACATCAGATTGTCGCGGTCGCAAATTCTAGAACCTTCCGCCTTCACATCCGGGGCACCGGCGGCTTCAAAGCCCTCTCCCGAAGGCGCTCCAAGGCAGCCAACCTGAGCGCAATGCTGTTGCTCCCAAAGTCATTCCTGAGTCCTGAGGGTCCGAGGCCCGGGCTGCTTCTCGGACAACTTTGAGCTTCCGATCTTGGCGTCCTCGTACAGCACGAACCCCTCACCAGCTATTTAAGTCATACACACCGACGCAGCCTGTGTCTGCTGTCCATTGCAAACTACAGGAGGATTCTTGAGAGTCCCCGTGCCCTGATACTGGGCATTGTGTGCTTCCCTCGCACTGAAGGGACTGCAGGCTTACGTCATCTTACGTCCTTGGCGTCTTTGCCCTCCTTGCCGTCCTTCGTTGAATCGGCTGCAACCTGCTGCAAGTCGGTCTATGATTGCGACGTCTGAATTGGTCTGTGTACTGGCCTGCAAGCAGTAACTCTTTTGACGTCTCGGCGAGTTTCAGTCTGCCCTCGGTATAGACGCTTGCCGGGGCGCATCGCTTTGCAAGTCTGCCCAGTTGGCCCACACAGTCCAGCGGCAGTGAGCGCGAAGTCAGACGAGCTACCGAAATGTGCTCGCACGGCACTCGGCGCTGCGTCGACGGCCGATGCACGTAACGATTGCACCAGGCAGCTGTACGCCGGTACGCCAGGTCAGGGCTTCGGCTTCAGACATCGCTCAGGACCTTCGTGCGGCGTCGTCCGCCTTGCGCTTGGAGTACTGCTTCAGGCCTGCAGCTTCCACAAGAACTCGTGGTCGATGGACGGTCAAAGCAAAATCAGTACAGACTTCTGTACCTGGCGCTGGCCTTCCTCCCAGGCTTCAGCTGTCACTCCGTCCGGGGTCTCGATACAGGTCACCCCCAGTTGCGAAACATCCTGAGGATCTAGAGTGCCCTAGCAATCTATGGCTGGTCTCAAGACGGATGGAGTCCTGAATATTCGAAGGGTCATCATCAAAGAACAGCATGTCCTGAGTTGCGATTCTCAGCGCAGGATTGACTTCAAGGCTCCGAAACAGCTGGAGAGGAAACAAGCTCAGCAACAGCCGCCTCAAACGCCACACCAGTCTTCGCGGCTAGCTGTCTGAAGTGCTCCCGCTTGCCTGTTGGCAAACTTAAAGGGGCTGGCAGCCGTCAACGCATGGCGAGGATTGCGATACTCTAAAAGGCAAGCTGCTGCTGAACATTATCTCCACGAGCTCGCCTCCTTCGGCAACGTCCCACATGGACACTCCGTCCTGGAGATTTAGCATTGCTTACCCAGCTCGTCCCGGCGATCCGCTTGACTACACCACAGCCCAACCCGCTTTTTGCATTCATTCCCTGCCCCCCACTTTCCCCCCTCTGCCCCCTCCTCTCCCCCCTGCTCTCCCCCCCAACCTCCCAACCCCCTTCCGCAGCCGCCCTCCATCCCTTGCCCCTTCTGCATCCGCACTGCTCTTTCACATTACAGAAGCGGGTCCATGAGTTCTGTCACAGTGCTGGTCTCCGGCAAGCCGAGGCGGGCGGCGTAGCGATCAAATTAGTCGTGTAATGCGCTCCGTCTGAATTTATAATCTACGTGGCTTTCCTCTTGGGATCGAACAAGAATCGACACGTTAGAACCCCAGCCAGAGTCAGGATGGCCTGGACCATGAACTTGCGAAGACACTCTCTGCCCCAGTCTGGATGATCGCATCGACTGGCAACGCCCACTCGGGTGTCTGCGAACTTTGCAGAGCTGTGCAGTTCCTTCGCACTGTCAACAAGCAATCGCAAAGGTAGATAAACACAGAATACACAGAACTCGGAGAACCATCACAGTCCTTCCAGATATGCCGGACGTTACCCAGAAGGCGTACAGCTTGACCGCCAGCGGTTTTTAGCACATTTGGATCTGCTGTCGATGAGAATGGTGCACCTTGTCGAGACACTACTCGGTACTGTGAGATGCCGGATTGCAGCTGGTTCGATTGCCAGCTTTACCACTGAATCACCACAGGCTGTCTGTGATGCCTCTTCGGATCATATACATCTCAGGATACCAGCAGCACGCATCCAGGTCGAAAACCACCAGTGCCGGCGAAACCATGGCGCATGTGCTCGCAAAGTGCGGTTGCCGTGTGCTCACTTGCGAGAGTGATAGAGCAAGTAAGATCCTACTCGTAAATGCGAAGTTGCGGGCCACTAGCAACATGCGATGCGGACGTCAGTTGACTGAAGGCTGTGGCAGTCTCTGGCGCAAGCCCTCTGCCCATGCTGCGAGAAATCGAAACCTTAACAAGCCCTGCATGGCCTTGGGTTGTCTGGAGGGCTTTGCGACCTTCCGCCTGCTCAGTTTCAGCAGAATTGTGAGAAAAGGAAAAACATTATCCTTTTGGATTGTGCCTCTTCTTGCGGCCAAACTCATCTATCTCCTGACGTAGCAGCACATCATTGAGATGCAGTCAGCGACAATCAGTAAAGCCTCGTCATCGGAGTTCCAGTCATTGTGTGGCTCAGCTGGATGTATTGGCCTTGCAGAGGAGCGCGAGCGATGCAAGCGGCGGAAGCCTGGAGAATCTCGGCAGACGCCTTCTGGGGGCAGGCGACCAGAGACCGCCCATGGCCGGGCCGAGGCATCCGCCCAGGCATCCGCCCATGCCGCCGCCTGCAAAGAGATCGTCGCATCTCTGCTCGGCGGATGCTCCGAAGTGCCGACCTGGGCACATTCCGCCGATGGGCGGTCGGACGCCCATCGGCGGCCGCAGCATGGGCCGCGCCTCAGAGCAGTGCACACCGGGGCGGTCTCAAATGCTTCCGTCGTGGCACGAGTTACGAGTTCCCGACCCCGCTTCCTTGGGCAAGCCGCTCTGCCTGAAAGTGATTCGATTGCTCAAGAGTATGGTATAAGAATGAGTTGCCAACTTGCCTCTCGGCGCTTTTGCTGCAACCAGAACTCTTGGTTGAGCGCCATGCGGCATGCGGCTGATGTGGCACTGATGTACTCTTGTTTGCTGCGAAGTCCTCACTAGAACCGCTCAGCGTCATGACAACAAAGTAGGACGGGTCGTGGCTCGAAATGCGGCCTGTGTCGTTCCTTGAAGCGTTGCAGTTTTGGATCACTCGGCTTGCTTGCAGTAGTGGGTAGAGGTAGAGGTGCAATGTGCAACGCTCATGGAACCGCAACGGCTCTCGGCTCTGGTATCATGATGGACGGCCATTGCTGTCAACAGCAATGCAAGTGTCACAGCAGAAAGCCGCAGAATCGAACATGACCTTGACAAGACGTTCAGCAGGAACTTCAGGAGGTGTGTGCGGATAGGCGTTCGGCGCCTCAGACCCCATCATACAAGTCTTCCCAGACAAGTCTTCCCAGACCAGATATTATCATGCTTCAATGCATCACGACTAAACAACCACGTGTCCTCTCCAGCTGCTGCGTACTGCAAGCACAAAGGTCTCTGGGTATGCCATGCTGTCCAAACAACCGGGGGCCGCACTCGTGCAGTGAATAGTGCGACGCCAGATCTAAACGAGAGAGGACAATGTGGATCGTCCTGACTTCATTTGAGCATCCCCTCAACTAGCACCATGCTATTCTCTGCTCTTCAAGCGAATGGGGACGCTCTGATCTTGCCAGAGCACGCACACGGCATGCCAATGTTTTACTGAATTCGCAACATGCATGTTACCACGGCGGGCCTGCCGTGGGAGAACAACGATTCCGGGACGGACTCCTTCCACTCATGGCAGCCAGCTTCGAAAGGTTGCTTAGGCTAACTTCACATCATGTCCCCACGCCCGGACGCTGATCATGAAGTACTCCTGCTCCGCAGCCAACAGCCGCTGCTCATCGTACCTGCTGCAGAATCGCACGATTCCTACCCCTACCCTAGCTCACCCATCTGCAGCAGCGGCGACAACTATCAAGCCAGCTCCATGAGCACTTGATAAGCTTGTCCACCATCTCGCCCCTATCAAGATCCGACTGCTGCATCACCAAGTTCTCTACCTCAATCCCATCAAGCCACGAAGCACGACAGGAAGCATAAAGCTCGAAAGGAAATGTTTGCATGATGTAGGACAGGCAACACCTTGAACCAAGAAGAAGTTGAACACAGGCTATCACCGAAGCAGCATGAGGTCGAAAGACGGCTGGCCATACATGCCCACAAAGTCTGCTGGACCCACCCGGAACGAAGACGAGCCCCGACCGACCCAACGAAATGACCACCCAAAACCGTCATCCTAGGACGTATGGCAAGCACGAAACCTACTACGAACATGGCGCAGGAGCTATGTTGCAAAACGAGAATGGGTGCTAGGGCCAGTCTGATCTGGGCCCACCATCACAACAAAGGCCCCTGCCCACCGCGAAATCGTTCCCAGCCGCTGACCTCGCGAAGCTGACCGACCATTCAGTTGCCAGCCCTCACAGGCAACACTCAGCGCGAAACCTGCACCTGCTTGCCCTGGCGATCCGGGCACCTGTGCAGACTGAAGAATTTCGTCTGCGGTGCTGTGTCACGCAGTCGAAGCCAAGCTACATGCAGCATGCACACGACTTGTTGCAAACGGACCGACGTTCACGGAAGATGTTCGACTTCGGGCAGAGGTGGCTCTGTTTCGGGGGTGGCCCAGCTTCGCCTCGAGCGGATCAAAGGCCACCTCAAGGTAAGACTGCAGAGTCTGCCGGCACCTCAGTGTACGATGCCAAGTCCAGGCCATGACGCCTCTGAAGAAGCCCTCCCAAGACATGTACAAGTATCCTGTATCAAGTTCTGCAAGTTGTCCACACAACCGCGTACAAAGAAACTCAATCCGGATCAACTTGCCGTCTCAACCCTAAACCTGAATGATTGATGGCTTTGGTCTCTCCGACGGTCTCTGGCTTCAGCCAAACAAGCGTCACCGAATGCAGAACGCAATTTTTTGCCACTACTCTCCTGCATGGCAGGGTTCCCGTAGACGATGACGGGTCATCCTCGCACCGGGTGCACTACTCATGGAAGCAAACGTTTGCAATTTACAATTTGCATGCGGGTTCGAGCGCCTGAGTTGCAAGTCCCAGTCTTCATGCACCACTTTCACGGTGGGATTGAACAACGCGTTGATCTCGCCTGCGACTGCTCAGAAACCAAATGCAAATGTCCTATAGCAGGCGAAGAGGGAAACCAACTCCACCGACTGCAGTCCGGCCCTTACAAGGATAAACAACCAAGCTGCCCTTCTTCTGTGTTACTCTTCCAAGCCACTCATCCGCTGACGCCACGAATCAAAGAGTGTCAACACGTCTTCGTCGCAAGGTACCAAGCGGCCAACCTGATCAATGCAAATCAACTCCTCCCAAAAGGTAAAATGCGCTGTGGGCCTCATCATGATGATACATCGCAAAACTTGCTTCTTCACATAATATCGTTCCTGCCTTTGTCCCTCCAGCTTCCCTTCGGCAGTCGTGCCGTTTGGGAGCTCAGGATCTGTGAAAATGTAATAACCTGGACCTCCAATATACGATGACTAACCTGTACGGAGCCCTGACCTGCGGGCTGCTTGGGTTTCTGCTGTAAAGCACGAAGCAGGTCTGATCGAGCTCAACAGCGCTTCGACCAAATCACGTCCTGTCTCTAGCTGGTCTGATCGAGCTAACAAGCGCATCGTATAAACCGTAGCCAGAAGCTCGGGCCTGTGCAAACCTTACGATCAAAATCTCTCACGGCCGGATTTTCACGTGTGCATTGGTAGGCCGTTAGCCACTGGGTTTGATGGGACTGGGTCTTTTAGAGACAATTACCGCAGCAAGCAAACGGAGCTTCCCTCAGTGTTAGTTGGTTCGTAAACTATACCCGAACTTTGAAGAAAATCTGACGCGAGTGGAGGGAGTACGGCCACGCCAACTGTTGGGGGATGTGCTAGCACCTTTTGCGTTCATGTGAGGTTCAGGCATGTGTTGCTTCTGCTCGAGAAATACTCACCCCGCAAGCGCTAGGCATTCGACAAACCTTAGTAAAGCTCGTGTCAGTCAGGGTTTTGCCGCCCTGCCGTGAAGGTATTTGAAGTGTTGTTTATCTTTGTGTACGCCCCCTTCGTACCCTGACGCTGTCGTGGCCTTTGGCAATTGAGGGACAAGGTGTTGGTCTGCTCCCGTCGACTGGCCACCATTTGCTCGCCACCACTTGCTCCCCCTATAGTGTAAGGTAGGAACTCGGGCGTAGCACTCAACCCAACCGACGTGCATGGAGAATTTGGCTTTGCGCTGCGTGCACTAAGTCATGTGAGCTCTGGACTTCAGCGTCTGTATCTTTTGGCCACCACACGGTCCCTCTCTCTATCTCTCCCTTGTTTCCTCGGAGGCGGAGCTGCAACCAGAGCAAGGGCCTGGCCCTTTTAGCCGCAACTAGAGAGGGAATCTTAAAATCGGAATTGTGCAGCAGCACATGTCAGTGCACAGGGCTGTTCGACGGTTTGTTTCATGGCAAGAACCCCTGTTTCTTTTCTGCTTCCTCGCTGTGAAGCAATGTGGAACAAGCGACCTCTGTCTCTCTCTGTGTTCCGGATGTAGGCCTCGCCGAGACTGTCAAAGTTCGAGGTCGCGGATCCGGATGGCCCATCATCTGGCAGGCTCCTGATGTGGGCCGGATCAATGGGTCGCCACGCGCCTTAGGGAGACACGATGCTTGTCCGATCCACCTGAAGCTGCGAAACGTGGTCAAATACCAAATCTACTTGCAAAGACTAATGCCAATCGAGAAGCCGGTGATGTCCACCTCGCGCAGTGTCGAAAGGGTACATATCTCCCTGACAAGCGCCTTTGCACTTCGCAGAGCTCCGCACCGATGCTACCAGCAACACAGAAACTAACTAAAACCCAACAATCTTGATAGGTACTGTGTGAATACAGACCTGCATGCGTAACGTGCTAGAGCACAGCAGTGAGGCACAGGACATGCCAAATGACCCGGGACTCAGCAGAAAGCCCACTGGAAACCACTAGTAGACAATTGCAGCAACCCGGTCCTCATTCGCTACCGCAGACACACGAAAATGCGGGATGCAGTGTCGTGAACATGTTTGCGCCTTCCCATGTACTTAAGCTGAGCCACCTCCCAGCACGCTGTTTGGGAAGAGACTGCTTCAGCCACCAAGCTTCTTGGACGGCATTCAATGAGCCTGATGCTCTGACAAAGCGAGCCCAAGGAGCTACAATGCAAAACGGCAAGATCCTGGAAAGGCCTACATACAGGAAGACTCCGGTAAATTGGCCCGCCTGAGGGTGCTCCAAACCTAAACGCGCCCTGCCAACAGCCTGATCTTTAGTCCAAGTGGCGTTGCGTGGGGAATTTGAAGAGCACGGACGGCCGGCAAAGCCGCAGATGCGCCGTCTGCAAAGGCAGCAGGGCTGCCACCTGCTGACGGTCTGGCATTGCAGACTGAGAGCGAGAGAAGTCCCCTGTTGCCTGGCGCGCACACAACCAAGTGCGGCAACTGCAATGTGTGCAGCTGCCGTGTGACTTGACGGAGGACGGTCCAAAAGCCACAGGAGTGTGGAACTTGGCCTCCTGCGGAGATCACGAAACCTTTTTCACAACATATTATGTGTTCATTTCAACTGCTTGCCGAAGCCCTTCCTGCGTTGATCAGACAGTGGCCGAGGCACAACTCCTGGGCACATGGCCGGACAGAACACCCCTGAAAACGACTTCTTTCTGGTAGCAGTGCGGAACAGTACAGTTCTGCTGCACTACGTGCATGCGCGTGATGTTGACGGCAAAACCGCGTCGGACGACATGTCCTGGAATCTGGCCCCCCTGCGCACGAACTTGGCAGAAGGGCCTGGATGCACCCGATGACTGAAGCCTCTTCGTGCATGGGCATGGTTTCAATGCCATTCCCGCCCTTGTCCCACGGCTCCCTTTATTGACTATTGTACAAAATGCACACGACCCGCTTCGCATGCACGCTGATGCACCTTGCATCTGCGGTTTTGTTAAAACCACCTGTACGGTTCGGCCCCCCATGCTTCGCACGCCATCCTAGTCCTAGTCGTCTAGTCGTCCGGGAGCCCTGTGCAAACCCGGAAGTGTCCTGCAGGTGCGCTCCACCACAAGCAGCTAGCGGCTCCAGCAAGAGGTTCCAAGACATGCCACCAAAGGCCTCGACAAGAAGCTAACTTCAGAGATCCTTCGCTCTGGGTTCCTGGAGCAGCGCCTCTGCATGGCTCACCTCTAGGCGCCGCAAGCAGATAGTTGCAGGGCTTTGCACCCGTCTGCGTGGCAACTTCTGCAGTCGTGCCAAGTGCCTGGGGCCAAAGCTGCTGCAGAAAAACACACACAGCGACACGGCAAACGCTGGCCCCAGCAAAACAACACGCCGCACGGCCGCACGCCTGCCTGATTTGCAGATTTCGCCAGGGCCAGACTCCGCAGAAAGTTGCGGTGCAGAGGGCGGAGGCCTGCAAAAGCTGGATTAACGACAAGCAGGGCGGCAGGGCTGCTCTGTCAAGGCCTCTGCAAAGTTGAGGGCATCCAGTGTCTCCGGCATGAGCAGTTGCGATTGAATTACCATGGCGAACTCCAGGCTGACAGCCGAGAGCTGGCTCAGCACAAGCAGCATGCTGCTAGCGCCCTCTGCTATCTCGGAATTAAAATTCCAACGTGGCCGTGCATAAGCCCCGCGCTTGTCTTCCACATTACGGCAGCTCTCATGGATTCGATGACCTGTGGCAGCGGTCGACCATGAAAGCAACCTTGAAGCTCTGTCTCGCAGCATCTTGAAAGCTTCAGGCCTTGCACGCGTTTTGTACAAATGATGTATCACTTTGCAGGCATTTGCAAGCAGTGTCCATGGAAGACAAGCCTTCGGTGCTCAGCTCTATCTTGGCTCGTGGCATGACTTCTGAGCCTTCCCCTTACTCAACTGAGATCTGCCTATCGGCTACCAGTCAACTTCGCCTCGATGAGTCCAGTGAGGCACGCGACTCAGGACTTTGCATCCAGAGGGGCTTCTTGCAACGCCCCAACTTTGCAGTCTATTGCACTCCTGCCTAGGATCGTCATGATGAGCTTGGATGCTTCCACTGTAACCTCGGCGCTCCATCTAGCACAGCTCCAGCTGTCCAAGTTGATTACACAGCGCAGCCTCTGACTCTAAGTGGCCAGCCTGCTGGGGTACGCCGTCTACTCCCACTAGGCTTGTGGCCAGACCTGCTTGGAGTGTGAGAGGTGACCATAAGTCGAGACGGCTCAGAGGCTGTGGCCGAGGGTCTCCTCGTGAGTCAGCAGGCAGGCCTGCCGGGCACTTCTCTCACAGGACAGGACGAGACAATAGCTCAGGCGTGCCAGGTCCCGCGAGCTGGCCAGCTGCACCAGCTTGGTCAGAAGCTGCCATGTGATAAAGTGGTCAGGGAATCAACTTCCGATTGCATCACCATCAAGTTGAGCACTGCAGATATCAAACTTGGTAGCAGCACTTCTGATGCAAGTCCAGCCGTGTCTGCACTCAGCCTCGAGCCCATAAGTTGTAGCAACACATGCGGAAGATGCGATTCGCAGCTGAGAGAAGCTGGAGCCCACGCTTGAGCTGGCCAAGTTCTTCTCTGAGCTGCACTGCCAAAAGAAACCTCGCTGGAATCCGGAAATCAGCCAACGGCTTGAGTGGCAACGCATGCCTGAATAAGTCACCACTCAGATTTCAGCGGCTCGATGTGCTCGTGGCAGGCGTTGATGTCATCTGCGGTTTCATCCTTGGCTTTTATTGACCTTTAGTCATTTAGTGTAACGAGCATGCAGCTCAGCAGCTAAGCAGCCCAGGCACATGCGACAGCAAGAGTCTGTTTTCCACTCAAACATCCATGAGTCTACGCTCTTATCAAGAAGACCGGATGTCCAAGTCATAATCCTGGACCGGTGACTTACAGAACCCCGTGGGTCGCGTGCAGCAAAAAGCGTCTCCACTTCGTGCTGGCTGAAGCCGAGACCTGTGGCTTGATGCAGCTTATCTCCAAACAGACAACAACCAGCGCCTGTCACAATGAACTGAACTGCGCCTCACTGACGGCAAATTCAAGAGTTCTCTTCGACAGACCCGCAGGTGCAGCATGCGCCTGGAAGGCCAACCGGCTCACTTGGGTCTGTCCGGAGCTGGAGCCAGCGGGCCACCTGGAAACTGCTTTTTCTCATGCACACCCAGGACTTGTGGCGTGCCCCTCAAGGGCTTTGCGTGGTCTGAGTTTTGTAAATCAGTGGCTGCGATATATCAACGACATCTTGCGAAGTTCACTCCCCGGTATCTGACGGTTCCACCCGGCTCGGCTGCGAGGACAGCCTCAGATGTGCAAAGTGCAGGCTCTTGCCCACCGGACAGACCGTTCGATCAACAGGCCAGCTACAGCAGTTGCCGGGAAGCAGGTAGCGGTGCAGGTCGCGAGATTGCAGTTGCACAACAGCTTCTTGCCATCGCCTCCCATGAGACAAGCGTGACTTCCACAAGTCCCATGCCTCAAAACAAAGCTTTGACTGGAGCTACCAGGTCATCCTAGGCTTCAACCAGACCCGAAAGTCGTGCTTTATGCAGTTCGCATTTCAGCTGGAGGGTAGCTGGCGGAGCACTTGACTGCATGTAGCCAGACTTCTCGAAGCTCCGACTCCACTTTGACCTGGCTTGACGACTATCACTCTGTCAAAAGCTCGCCTCTTGGCAACCCTTGGCACTATCACTACACTCCTACTTGTTTGGGAACTCAGCACGGCAGGCCACGCTTTCTGCAAACCACTTGACATCCTCCAGCTCTGCTACAGACAGCCTCGGCGAAGCTGCAGCTTGTAGTTTCAAAAATTCTGTTGCAGCACGTCCAAGGGAAGACAAAATTCCGCTCGGACCCCGGGCGCTTCCAGCCAACCGGTGAGGTCTTGCCTTGCAGACAGGACTGATAATCCATCTATGCAAATGCATCGCCTCGCTGTGTTGCAAAAAAATCGCTTCCGCTTTGTCGCGATGTTGTTTCTGAGTCCAGTGCGGACTGACTTTGCAGTCACGCGAAATCTTGTGCGGGAGCAATGCCTGGTATCGATGGATTCCCGAAGCAATGCGCACATATATCGCTTTATTTAAAATCCCATAACTGTTCACCTCAAGCTGGACTTTGGCCTCCGGGATGGGCATTGGTCCCTTTGCATCTGCCTCAGGCAGTGAAGACAGATCGCGCTTTGAGAGCAACAGAAACGAGGTCTAAAGACGAGGCATGAATTGATTCGAGAAGAACCCATGCCTGCATGGCATCCAGAATATGAGCAAGCTCGACCTGCACGACAGAGCTGCTCTTCAATGGATTCTTCCAGCAAACGTGCTGTGCTGCATGCCATTCAACACCTGACTCAACCATCCTTTCACGCGACCTTGCTGACAAAGCCGCGTTGCTTTGAATCTAAGGCTCGAAATACCTCAGCTGCAGACAACGTCAGTATTTCGTTTCTGTTGTGCTCAAAAACAAGCTGACACTGGGTTGAACGTTGCTCTGAAAAACTGGCTTGTGAGCCCATCGCCTCTTCCAGCAAAACGGACCTTCGTGTCGGACAACTTTCCTCTGCCATCTCGACCTCATCATGAATCAGGGTAGCAACCGCCATGACTATCGCAATGAAGCTTCCGTTATCTGCTGCTGTGACAGATCAATCTCGGGAACTGTGCACGAAAAACAGTTGGCAGTGTGGCGGTCAGTCAAAATTGGCCGGGTGGCACACAGAACTGCGGCTGTCTTGCCTCCTCGAGCTCAACAGCATCCATCACCGGCACATGTGTTGGGCGATGCTACATGTCTTTTGATTGTTAGATCCAAAAGCCGCCCGAAACCGTATAGCAACATCTGCATTGTCTTGTGGAGCTACAAACTCAATGAGCTTGTTCATAATGGAACTATCATGGAACATTCGTAACTTGCCTGCGTGCGAGAAGTCTCAATGGAACGGCAGTTTGCAATATATTACAGCTTGAACCTTCAGATCTCCGTATTTTTACAAGAAAATAAAGGGCTGCTCGCCATAACATGCCAAACCGGAAAATGGAGAAACGATATTCGTGCGGTTTCTGCGCACAATCTCCCTGCCGCGACAACACAAACGCTGAGAAGGACAATGTTGCATCTTGAGAGTAAAGTCGAAAATCATCCGGAGGTTCGATCAGGTGTGTGACAAACCTTCGAAGTCCAAGTCCACACGCAAGCACGGAGACACATCAGCGACCTTAATTCTATTGCCACAGCTCGGTCTTGCCTATCTTTGAAGTGGAAAACCGAGTTCTTCAAAGGTCGATTCCGAGGCATTCATAAGGCCACGATGCCTGGCAGGAAACCAGTGCAGTTTGCCCTGTCGAGATAGAAATGAGCAGCCGCATTTTCTAATTTTGGAGCTTCCGAAAAGCAAGAATTTCAAGTGACGAGGCGAAAATTGTCAGTTGACCACTATTTTGATCTCTTTTGGCACTCAGCCTGGCAATCTGTGCTTGCCATGCAACAACGTGTTTTGCTCCGTCTGTTGTTCAGAACAGTTCTACACCACGCAACACAAAAGGCTGCGAGGCTACTGCGAAGCTACAAAGCGGAAAGCAAAAGTCGACAGTGGCTTCACTCGCACCCCACTTCGTTCTTTTTCGGTTTACCAGAAATACGACTGCTGTCCGTTGAAAGTGTCCGGGTCTTTGACCTTCTGGATTGAAAGCTGGAGCAGCCGAGCAGTCGAAAAGCCGGTAAGCAATGAAAGATAGAAGCAAAAGCGAAAAAACATACAGTAGCCCGTGGAAAATCGAAAAACTCCGTGCATGCGACTATGACTCTGTGCTGAAGCGTGCCCAAAAAAACTAAGCAGCTTGTTGCGTGGTGTATGCTTGAATCCAAGCGGGGCCGCGGGGTAAGAACTGCAACAAAGTGCTACAGTTGTTGAAGAGGACCTGCATCAAAGATAAGTTTCAACCTTGGTTCCGACCTAGTTCCAACCCAGAAGGATGACAGAACGGTCCGAACCATTTTTAGTCGTCGGCAAGGCATGGTGAACAGAGTCCTGCGGATCGTCATCCTTGGGGTTTGGGGCCGGCCGCAGCAAACTCAAACCTGGGCTCGAACTGGGTTCCGAACCCAGATTCAAACCTGGGTTTGAACCGTCTTCAAAAATAACTTTTCAAACCTGGATTTTGAAACCGAGCTTGGAATCCCGGTCAACCCAGGTTTCCGAACCTGCCCTTGAAGAAAGAAACAGTTCGGCTCAGGTAGCTTGGCTTCCATCTCTCTGGAACTTTCCGTTGTCATTAAGTTTGCCAGTAACTCTCCGTGTCTTTGAGTTGAGTTCCAAGAGAATGCTGTGGCGTTGGTTTGTCTTGCTGGTCGTCAAACGACGGTCCGGTGTCAAACAAATAAAAAAGCGAAAAAGATTACGGTCCGGGTAGGGTCAACTGGTGCGGAAACAGATCCTGCAAGGAATGACAGTTCGGAATGTTTTGTGCATGCTGCTGACCAACACCAAGTCGATGCTTGTCAAAAAAGACATTTTGTCAGCAGAAAACAATGCAGGCCCCAACTGCGACCGCCTGGAAAACCTGCCAATCACAATATCTCTTTTTGCTCACACAGCCGACGCAAAGCTCATTACTGTTGACGGTTTTTCGGTCTCGAAAATGGGCCCATCAAATCGAACAAAAGCTGAATAAAGAACAGTCCGAACTGCACTTTTGTTGTCATGCTGGGTGACGTCGGAACAGATCGTACAAGCGGTAGAATTTTTTGGAAGGTATCTCCACCAGATGTTCACAGGACTTCTTGAGCTATGCAGAGTCATGGGTCGCTGACGGTTCGGAATTAAAGGAAAAAAAGCTTTTTGATCCCTTCCATATCTGGCCAGAACTTTGAATCATCATTCCGAGATTCATTTCTGTGTTGACTGGTGCCTGCGAAGTGAAAGACATGAGAACAGAGGGGGAGCCACGCAAGTGAAGCCAAACTTGCTTGTCATTCGCCCACATTTAAAAGCGCGTGTGCTGCATTTGGTTCGCAAACAAATGGGCAACCTGGGAAGCTGAACAGACGTTCCAGACGCAGCTGGAACACTTCCATCGCTTGCACTGAGGAACTTGCAATCTAGGTAGCTTTGTGCTTGCTGAGCTGTGGCGAACTGAAGAGCAAAAAATCAGCAAGAGCCAGGTAAGTCCATGTCGTGCAGAGCCGGTTTTATGCACAAATTCCAAAGAAAACCCACACCTCTCGATACCACAACTCTGCACAACTTTCGAAGTCCTGTTCAAATCTAGTGAAAATTCGGCCGCTTGTGTCCGTCCAAAATTACAAGGCGGACGACCCCATCGTCCACAGTGTGTGTCCTGTGTGTCGAGGCCAATGTGCGCCATCGGGCGTCTCTCCAGTTGCAGGAGTGTCATTTCTGTGTTTGTGCGACTTCGAAGCGCCTTCTGACCTTCACCTTCTGCAGCTTCCGAAGCGAAGTGGCGCTCAAGAAGCGCATCCTTGCCCTTCATCCAGTGGCTAAACGCAGCAATCCTAGGGATGCACTGGCGCTTGCCTGCGACATTGATCCCGGCGGAGTTGCATCTTGGCCGCCCTAATGGGACAAACATTTTGCCGTCACATCGACGAGTTACTCAACAGTCCAGATGGACTCCTGTGTGGACACATATCGGCCATCCTGGCCGGGCGCAAGGACGAAGCTCGCTTAGCATCTTGGAGTGCGCGGGATCTTCCAAAACTTTCTCCCTGTGGTGCGCCTTGGTCTGCATGGACGCTGTGTGAGCAAACTGTGTTTGGGACAGCATAGCAGCACTCAGCGCTCATCGTGGTCGTGCGTATCGCCTCCAACCTCTTAGCCGATGCTCCAGATTGACTGCGTCCGCTCGTTGTTGTGCAGAGGGTCTCTGGCGATGCAGAAATGATCGACCCGGCCTTTGACCATGTGCTCTTCACTGAGGCTGCTGAGCATCAGACGGCTGGGCTTGGAGACATTGCCACGGCTCAGCTACTTCATCCGACTACCGAAGCAGACATCCTCGACCATGCACCAGAGTGGCCTCGTGGAATTGCTCTGTGTCCCTCGCTTACAATGTCTGCGGGCATCGTTTTGCTGTCCAGGCCGGAAGGAAAATCACGGTCGTCACACCAACAACTAGGGTTTTTGACTCCCTCAAGGTGGCTGAGGGCACCTCCTTTGCGGATTTCGTTTCGGAATGGCTTCCAGAACTCCCTCCTCCGGGGCAACTCACAACCCAGGAGCAGATCAGCAGAGATGACCGTTGAAAAAACAGCAGAAAGATTCCACTGGAAGAGAGAGGACCCCGCACTTCCTGGTTTACATCTCAGCGAAGCCTTGTTTGTGGATGACTCGATCTTGTGGAACTCCTCGGTGTCTGACCTGGGGCTGCGAACCGAACAGTGGGCACAAACCTTGGCTGAGTGTGGTCTTCGGATTAACATCGAGAAGTGTGCCCTTTATGTTAGCCCGTTTCATTGTGGGGGGCGAAGCATCACGGTGCAAGGGGTGACCCTCGAATCCGGGGAACACTTAAATGTCATGGGTCTACAACTCAGTGTGACGGGCACCACGTGTCGAATGCTGGCAGGGCTGCTTGCGAGAGCTAGAGATACCTTCTGGAGCATGAAAAATCTTCTCCTGTCGGATGCACCGATACATGCTCGGATTCGACTCATGCACAAGGTGGTGGGCGGGTGTGGACTTTGGTGTATCTCCGCCTTCTTTCCAGAACAATCGGCGCAGCACCTTGTGAACACTTTCCAGATGCAGTTGATCATTAGCATGCTGAAGATTAAACGGCGACCAGATGAAGGGTGGTTGCAGTTTCGGAAACGGTCCTATAGGACAGCCAGGGCGGTTTTGTGGCAGGGGCAACATCGCAGGTGGAGCAGTGTATGGTGTGAGAGATGACACCAATTTTCAATTTTGGGAACTTGGAAAAGCAGGACAATGACCGCAAACAGGATAGCCACTTGACCGCCCCCCTCTGTGAACTACCGGAACACTTGGATGAATCAGGGGGCTCGGCAGCTACAAGCTCGGTGGACCTGGGGTCCAGCGAACAGCCGAGTGCAGAAGCTCTCCCCGCCAGCTCCGAAGCGGATGATCCAACGAGAATGCCGACTTCGGGACCTTTGCCATCCTGCCCCTGCTCCTCTTCGGCAAGCTCAAGCACGGCCATCCACTACCAGGTCGAGGAGACCCCTGCCATCACTGCAGCCAGACTGCAACGAGCCAAACGTAAGCGCATCCTCCTGCGCACACTCGTGACGGACGAGACGGACTACTTCGTGCGGGAGGTGGATGACAAGCTGGACCGAATAGGGCAGGAGCACGGAAGTGATGGGGTAATAGCTGTGAGCATGGAGCTGAGGAGGGAAATCGGGCTATTCTTGCAGTACGATCCCTACCCTCGTGACGGTCTCCGGGATGCCATGGTCACTCCGGTCCTTCAAACTTTGGACAACCGGGAGATTGCCAACCCGCACATACTTGCGAAGAGGTATAGGGGATGGCTGGATGGGATGTACGCTCGCTTTTTCAGGGCAGTTGAGCGTGTGAAGTTCCGAGCGGCGGAGGAGTTAGACCTCGGAGAGCTGGCAGATGGAAGCTGTCTCATGGACTTGGGAGGATCCAGGCCGCCGTGGAGGAGTCGATCAAGGACTATTGGACCGAGTGGGCCGCGCAGCGCAAGAGTGACACATACTTTCGTCACCCTCTCGGCGGATGGGACGACTTCGGCCAGCCCACATCCTCCCTTGCATGGCGAACCAACGACGACAAGCGAGGCCGTGGGGCTTGTGTGCCAAGTTCTGGGGCTTCGAAACACGGAGGAGGAGAGGACTGGGACACCCGGGTTCCTGCCTCTTGAGGTCCAGCAACACCTGATTGAGGTGATGACGCCCATGAGCGACAATGGCCGTCGGCTTATGCATGATGCCCTCTCCCCGTGCCTCGAAAGACTTGGAGACGAGCTTGAAGAACTTATGGTGTCTCTGCCAGCTGGCAGCTCAGCTTCGGGGTCAGGGGCATCGAGGTCGAGGGGTCCTCCTGGGGGATCTAGTGAAATCTAGTGGCACTGCTCGCTCTTCCAATCCGCCATCATCTGGGAGGCGACCCAAGTCCAAAGCGAGGCCGACTACTCGCTCCAGACCTCCTCGCCCGTCGACCTCACCCGTTACAGGTGCTACTTCGGTACCGGATGCTGGGCCAGCCGTTGATCTAGATAGTGATTTCGTGGAAGTAATGGTGGAGGATGGGGGGTCGGATGATGAGCTTCTCCTCCAGACCTACATGGCCACTACAGGTGTAGAAGAGCAGGATGTGGTGGACACTCTTTCTTTGGTCCAACGACCTGACAAGCCAGGAAGGCCAGGGACTGGAGAAGTCAGGAATCGCAGGGGCGACTCGCCCGCTAACCATGCTACGGGGGCCCGCAGGTACCGGGACAGTCGCTGGGGGTCGAGGCCACGCTGCCCTCCCTGAGTGCCTGTCACGAGCCTCCTGCAGCCAGTTCTGGGCGTGATCGCTCCCGCTCTCCAAGGGTGCATGGTGCCTGGGCTTTCCTGGAGAGCCGATGGTGGGAAGTCGTGGAGGAACGTTTCCGAGTCCTACACTTCCTTGGTGGGGGCGGGCCCCGAATGCTTGGTTACCTCCAGCACCTGGTGGATGGTCGTGAGGTCAGGTCCTATCGTGAGTTTGCCGTCCCACTCTTGCACCACCTGGAGAATGACCTGCCCAACCCCTTCTCCCTCGACCTCACCCGGCACGACATGGACTTCGCCCTCATGCTGGAGGGCTATGTGTGGGAACAATGGACTTCTGAGAGGCGCCCTCGACCGGGAGTGCCGATGGTGGACGCCGGGATCTGTGCTGCTGTAGATGGAATCCGAGTGCGGGAATCGACCTATCGGACCCTGGCTTGGACGCCCGTGGAAAGCCTAGCAGCGACGGCAGACGACCCTGGGCCTGCACCGGAAACCGACATGGCAGTGACTGGGCAGATGAGTGACTCCGTGGAAGGGGATCATGATGAGATCTGTGGCAGTGAAGATGGAGGAGCAACGGGGGATGAGGAAACCTCCTCCCTCGTCCAGACGACCTTGCAGCTCGTGGGACACGGAGGATTGTTGCAAGTGGTCCAAAGTGTAGACATACGCCTCACGGAGCTTGCCCCCGGTCTTCGTGTGCGCCGAGCCATCAAACTACTTGATCTTCTATGTGGTCACTTCTGTCGAGGAGGAGGACGTGACCGGCTTCCTGAAGCCGCGGAAGGCCTTGAGGCGATGCTCACAGTGCATGCGGTGTCTGACAGTGGAGAATGTTCAGTAGGGGAATCAGACAATGAGGACCTTCACTGGACGGGTAACTGGTGGGACCAGTTAAGGGCACTCCTTCCGGATCCGTCTGCGAACCGTGTGGCAGATACTCTCCTCTATGAGTCCATCTCGACGGTCGATCGCGACGGTGAGGGGGATGACGGTGAAGGAAGCCGTGCAAGCACGATATCCTGGCCCTCTTTACCTTCTTTTATGACCATCACAACGAACTTGGCGCCTTGTAGACCTCTTCACCACCACGGTGTGTGCTGGCACCACCGGAGCGGTCAACATCTGTGTTGTCGAAAAAAGGCGGAGCGCTTTACCATGTCGGGGGAAGACGCCCACCAACGGCTCACGGCAGGCAGTACACGGCCTACTGGCCCATTGATCATCGCCTCTCCCTCCCATTTGGTGGAGCATTGTCGCATCATGCCGTCCTCTACCACACCCACGTCAGATGGAACGATCTGTACCGTACTTATGGGTTCGCCAGGCTTGGGCTACCCAGCTCCCCGCGCGCGGATCGGAAGACCGCCCAGGAGTTCTATGAACGGTGGTCCGTGAACCGTGTTCCTCCGTTTTGCGAGGCTACAGCCGTTGCTGCACACAGTGGTGTGGATGGTTACCGGGTCCAGCTCCTCCTCCGAGGCGTGGATTTTGAGCACAGTGGACCGCGTGGCCACTCCATCATGGCACGTCCATTTTATCCGGTCATCGAGACCGATCGCCCAGTCTTCTGACTGCTGGAGTTCACTACTCCGCCGAGGTTTGGTCTCCATCGCCTTCGTGAGCACAAGGGAGAGGGTGTACCTCCCCCCAAAAGGCTATACAGTGCACTCCACTCACCACAGGTCTCTCATCGGGACGCATGACGACGACAGAGACCGTGTGCGGGGGCAAGTGGGCACATCGGAGTCCATGGTCACCGCTGTTCCGGGGGCCTTTTACCTTTATGCCATTGCCTCTGATACGATCAATAGCTGCTTGGGAGGCTGAAGCGCTTCGTTTCGTCGCTAGTACACCATTCTTGCCCTGAAACGGTCTTGCTGCCGCCGGTTGCTACTACGGGCCTGCCACGCGCCCTCTATGACCCTGCGGGAAAGGTCCGCTCTGATCCGGACATGGGAGTGCCTGCCAAAGATCCGGCACTAACTGCAAAGCTGCGCAGTCAAAGCTGTGCTGTCTCCCTCCGTTGCGCCTAACGCTTCATGGAGCCAACGAGTAGCGACCTTATTGGACGCAGTGGAGACCCCGCCGCTTCGTCTAGTGCCGGGAGTTTCCTCAATTGCCAGCCGGTGTGTACCGGCTGAAGACGAAGACGAATTCGATGAGCAACATGACACCCTTCGGCGCTACCAAGCTCGGAGCCGACTACAGCAACCTGTCGATGGAATAGAATGTGTTGGGGCACTGCAACAATTGCTGCCCAACCCCACCGACTGCCTGACCCTGCTTCTCTCTCCCGCTGTCTCTGCCTGCCTGTGAAGTCAAACTCAGCCGGCTCCTAAGTCCTAAGTGAGACTCTACCGCCAAGCCAGACCCATCGCGGACCAATAGCCGGCGGGGTCTAATTCCAGCCAGCGACGCACTACTGGGGGAGACAGCACCAGTGTTGAGGCGGCAAACGCCACTGCTGCACTGCGGCGTGTTGCTGCCGGCGCAGCTGCTGTTCTTTCTCATCCGAGCGCTTGCTGACGACCCTACGGCCGCTCCACTTCTGCAGCTCACCAACGTTACTCCAACCCGTGACGGCCAGCACATTGAGGTGCGAATCACGTGCAAGGTGCCGGCTACCTTGGTAGGCGCTCCCCAGATTGCCATTGCTGACCGCCTGATGGCAGATTTCGCGAATGGACTCCTTCCGCCCAGACGCGGCGAGTTTGACCCACGCATGTTCACGTATCCGGGCTTTTATCGCGGCACCTTTCGACTGCTTTTCCCACTTGCGGACATCTCACTGGGGTTACAAGCTCAACCGTCTCTATCGATTCAGGCTGCGGGCCTACTTCATAGCGCTCTGTGGCGACTTCAACCTGCGGCAACCTCCCAAGGCTGGGATCTTCGAGCGGTCGTGGCCTGGAACGTGGGCCAAAAAAGAAAAAGTTTTACTTTCCGACCCGCTTATGGCGTTTTGCGCACTTCGACGCTGTTGAGACCAAAGCGATGGTCCTCCTTCAGTGGTTAGTCGCCCAAGCGCAGTTCCTGCCATTTGGCGAATGCCTCTGGTTCAACGATGTATGTCGTCGGTTACGCGGCACCAACAAGAAAACATGTTGGTCAGAATGACCCGACCGCTTTGTGGGTCCGTCACACCAGACGACGAAGTTGCGCCACAACAACCGGAAAGCGCAACCAAGGCCCTCCATCCCTCCACTTCCCACTACAAAGGGAAAGCAGCGGCCAAAGGCAGCCATCGCAAAAGCGCGCTCCGTCGCGACGTGCCGCACGCGGTTCGTCACCACTTAAATATACCAGACCATTGCCAGGTGTTCTGGCCGCTGAGCCTGCCTATCGGCGTCTGTTCGACAAGGCGACAACTTCCACCAGCCTTTCCAAAGCGGAGGAACGCCTCGAGATTCCAGAAATGGGTCGTCCAAGTACAGGGGAGGCCCGCTCAAGCGAAGCCAGAATTGCTGGACTTTTCCAGCCCTAAATTTGGAGTCGCGAAGCTTGCGATTTTCACCAACAGTGCAAAGCCTCTCGAACCGTCATTTGTGGGGTTTCGAGACAGAAACTGAAGCCTTCCAAAGCCTCCCTCGTGGGTTCGGAGCTTACAATCTTACCGTAGTCTCTGCAGTCTTCTGGTCTTGTAGTTCCTGCAGCTTGCAGCTGTCCCTGCTATCTTGTGCTTCACGTTGGTAGATTTCTCGGCTTGCGCGTGTCATCCTTGCGCAGGGGCCATGCTAATCTTCTCTATCTCGTTCCTCCACCTTCGGAAAGCACACGGCAAACGAGAGTGCCTCAACTGCTGAAGCAGTGCGAGCTTCGCGAGAACATGCTTTGATTCATGCATGCTTTCACTGAAGAAGTGTTGACACCGTTTGGGACATGACCTGGACTACAATGCTAAAGGCTCCATGCACAAAAACCGTGCATGGGTCCCGCCTCGCCGTTCATTTAAACTTTTAAAACCTAAACGGGGTGTGGACCCGGCCCTAGAAAAATGGGACCCGGGTGGACCCTGGTGGGACCCGGATGGGACCCGGTGGGACCCGGATTCAATCTGGCTAGCAAAGTATGGGACAACCAGATGAAACTTCTTGTGTGGGAAACATGGGACCCGGTAACACCCGGATAAGACCCGGCGAGCAAAAAAACGGGATTCGGTGACGCAGAAGGTGGGACTTGGATGGGCCCGGTGGGACCCGGTTGGGACTCCTCGCAAAAAGCGGGACCTTGTGACCGCTCAGATGATGTGGCCTCCAAACCACACGTTGATGTGGCTTGAGAACCACACGTTAAGTGGCCTTAATGTGGCTTCAAAACCCACGTTTGTGGCTTATGTGGCTTCAAAGCCACACATTTGTGGCCCGGATGTATTAAAGGGGCCTTATTTCCCAACGAAACTTCCGTTTGCGCGCGTAACGGGAAACCCTTAACCGCGCTGCAGTTAAACCCTGTGCAAGCACTCTCTTTTTTTCTCCTAGCGGACATGGGGGGTCAGTTCGGGCCCGATCTTCGGGCACTGAAACGAAGGATGCCGCTGGCATCTGTCTGAAAAGAACGACCGCTGGTCGCAGGTAAGGCGAACGACTGGTTCACCCCCCTCCTGCCCCCTACCAGGGGTGTCTCAGTACTTCTGGAGACAAAGGTGAAACTTTCTTCGACCCACAGGGTCGCTGCAGTCTACTACTAGCTACTCTGCGTTGTTGACGGCCTACGGCCTATGTACAGCAAAGCACGCTGTGCTGAAGATGAGATCTCTGCTAGAGATAGAACAAGGAGCGCTGCTCCGGCAGCTCTGCTGCCACAAGCGTGGTCCCAGACCCCGCATACTATACAGGGTGTGGTGGGTGGGATAAAAACTTTTGGATCACAGATCCACTTCAAGCCGAAAGCTGCACGGCAAAGTTTGTCTAGTGTTCACAACACACAAGTGAAAACACTGTTTTCCTTTTACGACAAAACTTTGTCTACACTTTCGGCGGGAAATAAAACCCATTCACGCACGCATGATGGAAGCTTATTTCCCAACGAAACTTCCGTTTGCGCGCGTAACGGGAAACCCTTAACCGCGCTGCAGTTAAACCCTGTGCAAGCACTCTCTTTTTTTCTCCTAGCGGACATGGGGGGTCAGTTCGGGCCCGATCTTCGGGCACTGAAACGAAGGATGCCGCTGGCATCTGTCTGAAAAGAACGACCGCTGGTCGCAGGTAAGGCGAACGACTGGTTCACCCCCCTTCAAGGCACTCGAAGCCTTACTCACCCCCCATCTAGTCCGCGCCGAGTGACAAGGCCAACAGCACTGCGTTGGGAGGAAGGAATTAGCGCTCTGCGCCAAGTTTCTCAGTCTCTTCCCACCAGTCTCTGCTGGTGCCATCAGTAATGTTGCTGACGGTGGGCACGCGGAAGAAAGCAGCCCTGCACTGCAGGGACTCCTCCACGTCGACTGCCTGCGATACTATCGCGGCGCCTGCCGCCTTCCTTGTGAAGGCTTTGTGTAGGGATGTACGCGCTGCGTCATTGTCAATCCACACGAACAGGTCACTGCCTGCTATGTGCTTCGCCCACAACTGTAGGCTCAGCAAGTATGGCAGCAGCTCGCACTCGAAACGAGCTGTTGCTTCTGAGCTCTAGCGACCCACTGGGTCGCTACGTGGCGGCTAATCTGTAGCCCCCAGGGTGCTTGCGATTCCCTTGCCTAT